AGACCCCGATAAGGTGGAGTGTGAGAGGCACTTCTATCAATTCTGTTAGGTGGAACCCATTATCCACTTAGGTTGGGAGGTGGGATGTGGTGATAAAGGATTATCCCAAGGACTTAGGACCTATAGAGATCTACCGGTTAGATATAATTTGAGTGATCAGTTTAGTGAGCATGGTGGACGATGAGGTGAGATATGTGTTCTCGAGGTGTGAGCAACACGGTATGTGATAGGATAAGTGTGGTGAGATCTTTTCGTGGGGTCATTTATGCATTTGTTGCATCTGTGTTGACCGCGTTCTTTGATTGACTATGTGTTAATCTGCTGTTCTGTGTGAACATACTTTGAAACGATCTGTAGATTATCCTATACGATATCTTCATCGCATGTTTATTTAGTCTTAATTGGTTGCTGTTATTATCTGCTTCTACTTGGGTGTTTGTTACCTTAGCCCTGGTGAGTAATGTAGCTGGTATGGTATGTGTTTCAGATTGGAAACACGATGTAAGGTTTGTGATACCAATTTTATTGGTTGCCTGGATTATGCAAGTATAAACTGTGTGTTTTTGTTTGCTTACAGATTTATTGGGAATTAAGGTGGAGATTTGTTGGGTTTTGATACCCAATAAATTCGGACGATGATGTAAAACAGTTATCAGATTATTAGCAACACCATAGACTTGGCTCGACTCTAAAACGACTTATACTTTTGGATGACCCAAGTTTGGGTTTGGATGGTTATGTTATTAATTCATTTATGTGGTTAGTTGTAAAAATTATTTGGTAGTCCATTTAGTGGACTTTGGCCCATTTTGGAGGGAGTGTTTGGCCCAAAATTAAGTGACCTAATTGACCCCTTTTTTATTCCCCTCATTACCCGCCGTTTTGTGTGTGTGTGTGTGTAGTGTGTGCAAGAGAGTGGAGAGGAGAGGCAGGCATGGAGAAGAAATGGCAGCCGAGTTTTGTTTGGTGAATTTCTTGGTGAGTTCCAACCATTGTTATTCTCCTCTCCTTTCTCCATGTGTGGGCTTGCAATTACCACCACTACATCTCCTTCGTGGGGATGAAACTTGAAGCAAACAAGGTGTAGAAGTTTTGGGTCGAGCCTTGTTAGTGTGGTGTTCGTTTGGTTTTTTTCTGAGCTCGGAATTAAGGTTTTCGAGGGATTTTTTGCTTCACAGTTTATAAAGCATATCATCTCTTATGTTTTAAGAAATAGCATTTCAATGTATAGACTAGTCATGTCACTTTCATAGTACAATTTTTGAATTTGAATTTGAATGGTTCTTTTGCTCTAAAATTACAAGTCTCGTTCACTTTCACTTGGACTTGGCATGACAAAAGAGAGAGCATAGAGATGCAACCAAGAAGTTCATATCCCTAGCGAAATTCTTGGTGGCTTCCGACGAATTTATTTCTCGATAAATCCATTTCCAGTCCAGTGGATGACAGTGCATAATTGGATGTGGCAAAAATTTGAGTTCAATGTCATATGACACTCCATTGGTGGTGTTGAAGAAGTTTTGGGTCTATTGGTTCGATTTTACATTTTGAGAGTATATGTTTTCCGCATTATAATTGTAATTATAATCATTTGTTCACTACATTTTAAACTCTACATGTTTATATCACAAAACATTAACAAGTGCATTCGAACTAATGTTAAATGTCAGAGATTAAAGATCCGATTTATAAAATTAGCTACTTGTTATTTTTATACATTGTTTCTAAAGCATATCATCTCTTATGTTTTAAGAAATAGCATTTCAATATACATTTCACGTCCGGTTGGAACGAATTCAGGA